AAACCCCTTTAGCGAAGGGTCGATGCAACCGAAGAGGCACGAGCATCTGAGATCCCGGTGGAACACGTACTGTTTGCGTAACGAGCGCCTGTACCGTCGCGCAGGCCGTACGCAAAGTATCGGGGGACGATAGGAATAGCATACGTCGGCCCGAAGGGAGTTCAATACAACCCTGGTCGATCAATATCCTGATCGGAATTTTATCCAAAAAGTCCATCCCCAACAGGCACGGGACAGCCAAAGAGAACGAGACTAACACCGGCCCGGATAATTTAATGTCTCCAATGCAAATTTGTGCCCGAATCTGGTCAATTATACCCAACGAGCCCCCGTTGGCAGCAAAACACGGAACATCGCCCAGAAGCAAAGGGCGACTTTGAACGGGAAGAATGTTGTAAATCAATTCGGACACAATTGTTGCCGATGCTCCCGTATCAATCAGAACCCGCACCTCAACCCCGTCAATATGGTCCACAACAACCGACGACTTCGCCGACGCGGCTACAACGCGGTTAGCCAGCGCGGACCACTGTCCCGGTTGGAGCGCCCACCCCATCGTGCCGCGGTTCGACTCAACAACACCCAAATTGCGGAACCCGTCCGTTGCACCGTGTGAGTGACAGATGCGTATGTGGGCCGAACATGTGTGATGCCACGACTTGCCGGATTTCGCTGCGGAGCCTTGGGAAGAGGAGCATCGTCTGGCCGAGGTCCTGCACCGCACTGCCGAGGAGCCCGGCATCCAGAAGCTACGTGGCCCCGGAGGCCACAGTTATAGCACCGGGTGAGTGCCCCGGTCGGCTTGGGGTGATCCTGGTAGCTCAGCACGTCCCGAGCCGGACGTTCGCCGGACCTCCATTCCGCAGGGCGACCCGCAGAAAAGACCTCCTCCGGTGTGGGGATGGTCGCAGCCACGGAGTGCCCGGTGGCCGCCTTGTTCGCCTTACGATGCTGGGACAGTAGATTGGCATGGATGTACTTTGCAGCACGCAGAGAACACATGTCTGCGTCGTCTTGTGCAATGATGATGATGTTCAGGTCCTCAGCCAGCAGCAAAATCTTCTCTACTACCATAGTGTCCACTCCTTCATCCATTCGTTGAAAAGCCGCCTTCGCCAGGGCCAAGAGAGCCGTGCGGTAAGCAAGGGGCGATTCCTTCGCGCCCTTTCGTCGCCCGTAGAATAGCTGTCTGCAGTCAGATGGTGGCCCGTAGACCGTGGCCAGGAGTCGGAGTGCCGATAGCAGCGTAGCGCACGCCAACTTTGGCGTCGCAGTGAGGGTGGCGAGGGCATCGCTGTCCAGCGTCACCAGGAGCGCTCGTAACGCCTCTTCATCTGTCCACCCTGACATCTAGTGAGCCAGGAAACGTCGCTCGAATGCAGCCCAGTCACCGCCATCCGACACGAATTCTTTGAGGACCAGCAGACGCTGCTGGAATGTGGACGCCGCCGATGCGTTCCGCTGGTCACCATTCCCGCTCTCCCGTACAGTGTCGGGAGCAATGGCGGGCGCCATCGGCGGTCGCACCGCTGGTGACACGCTGGCCGATGCTTGACGTACACCACAGTCGGCCGCCATTGATGACGTGGCGGCTGCTGCACGGAGGCAGCAGCGAGCAGCCCCTGTTGATGACGCATCGCCCTCTGGTTGGTCAGCATCCTCCCCCTGATGTGCCGGGGCCCCGCCCGCAGCACCCACTGTAGTTATGGCGGCAAAATCAAGTTTCAGCCCCGGCGACATGGCGGGAACTGCCGTTGAGCGCTGCCCGTCGTCCCGCCGTGCCGCTCTTCCCAGCTCCAGGCGAATGATTCCTTTCCCTACTCGGCCCTGACAAGGACGGTAAGCCAGGGGAGTTCCAGGGCCTATCTGCTGGTCTTCTTTCTTCACTGGTTGAAGCTCACCCACTGGGACCTCGAGCCCTCCGGCTCCCCGCCTTTTATAGCAACCGCCGCCCGAGGGGTGGGGCTGTGGGGGATCCCAGCGTAAACCGTTTGCGGATGTGGGTGTAGACGTGGGTGTAGACACCCGTGTAGCGTGTGGGAGCAGACACTCGTGTGTGTTTGTCAGCTCCCCCTTAACACCCCTACAATTGTACAGCCATAATAATTTTTTGCTTTTTACACACTGCTTGCCTGCTTTGGAATATAACCCACCGGCGAGCATAACAAAAGGCGGCTTGCTTATCTACTTCTGCCATCTACATCACAAAGCTCCAGGCGGGTCCACTGCAGGACAGGTCGTCACCTCACCAACTTATACCCCCCCACGGCCCATCCTGGCTCCTTTCGCCTCCCCTTAACCAGTATATATAAGGTTGTGTCTATTAGAGCTCTCTTCACTTGATACAGTAATTTTGCTGTGACGGTTCCACCTGAAGACGGAACCTTGTGTTGCCTCCGAAACGTAATGATTTAATTTATTTGTTTTCTTTTATAACCTACGTGACTTTTTACCGAAAAAAACAAAGAGTATGGATCCTTGCAGCCACGAAAACTTCAAATCTAGAATTATTACAGAAGCGTCTGTTAGTCCCCTTCCCAACTGAGATTGTTCTTCTGCATACATCTTCAAGTTTGCAGCCCATCGAACCCCCATGGGACTCTGGCAAAAATAAAAAGAGGCCATGAGTGAGGGCATCCTCCACAGAGCTAAACGAGAAAATCCAAACCTCGACGTCAACTTTTCTTATGTCATTTTCATCCAGGCCCTCATCCTTCTTGAGGACAAATTGCACTCAATTGGCGGAAAAACCTCACGTCTATGGGACTACCAACACCCTACAGGGACAACCTGCATGCCCTTGCTCAAGAGATCCTACATCAAATATCCTATGATGGTTTAGAGCTTCTTATATTTATTGAGGAAAATGAACCAAAGCTGATGGATGCACAAACAGAAACCTACACGAAAATTTTGGAAGACATTGAGACAAAAAATGGAGGCATTTTTTTCCTTGATGCACCTGGGGGTACTGGGAAGACCTTTGTTCTCAACCTGCTCCTTGCAAAGGTTTGCCAGATGGAGAAAATTGCTCTAGCTGTGGCATTCGGGATTGCTGTGTAAATCGATGTGTGTGTGTGTGAGTCGATGAATGTGTTTGAGTCCATATGTGTGTGTGTGTGTGTAGGTCGGTGTGTGTGTGTGTCTTTTTCGCCCGGGCAATGCCGGGTTCTTCCCACTAGTCTAACCTATAAAATGATTTTTTTGTCTGCCTGTTTGTGTGTGGCCAACACTTGCGAGGGATTTGGCTCATGCACCGTCGGGTTTAACTTTATAAAATTACCCAGGTAGCATGGCATAAGCCGGCATAAGCCGTGCTACCTGGATTTGGTTCATTCTGTCTCTCTCTAAAATTTACCAGGCTCTCATGGGGACCATTCGATCTTCTTTGCTTCGGGGTGGATTGATTGACATGCTAATTTCTCTGCTCCAACAGACCCACCTCTCTCTCTATTTAAGGCCTTGACACAGAGGCAATGGGTCTCTGTGTGTCTATGTTGTGTGTGTCTCTCTCTCTCTGTGTCTATGTTGTCACTCTCTGCTTATGTGTCTGTGTGACTCCGTGTCTGTGTTTTGTCTCTCTCTCAAATTCAGTTCTACCTGATGACGGTTGCTTGTGTTGCAATCGAAACGTCGTATTCTATTATTTAATTTATTTTCTTTTATATGACTTTACCGAAATAACCAAAAAGCAAAGAAATATACTGTATGCTATTTCGTCTTCATTCGAACATATTTACACTTGCCCCCTCAGTACGGGGGTTGAGCAGTGACGTTATGTCAATTATGCTTAATTGGTGCGCATCTGCTCATAGTTACAGGTAGGATAAGTTGATTTTTGAATCGTTGACTTTCATTTATTTACAGCTTTTGCTCGCACAAAATGTTTGCACAAAAATGGCGGAACACCATCGCCCTCGCTCTTAATTACTTATTACACACCTGCATTTTCCATCTTCCTTGCTTCTTTCGCTAAAGTAACGCACATAGAAAACTAATGAAAAAAACTTACTTCTTAAATATTAAAGTAATAATGTGTGTGTGTAGACGTCCATGTGTGCGTGTGAGTCCATATGTGTGTGCGTCGTGTGTGGGTCGATGTGTGTGTGTGTGTGGGTCGATGAGTGTGTGCGTCAATGTGTGTGTGTGTGTGAAAGTCGCTGTGTGTGTGTGTGTAAGCCGATTTGTGTGTATTAGTGGATGTGTATGTGTGTAAGTCGATGTGTGTGTGTGTTAGTCGGTGTGTATGTTAGTCGATGTGTGAGTGAGTCGATGTATGTGCAGTGGGTTCAAGGAGAGTGGAGACGGCTTGTAGAGGTAACACGTTTATTTACAATAACGGTAACAGCAATAGTAACGGTCCCTAACACAAAGGGGTAACGGCGGCCCCTATACCCGTTACCTGGGGAGGTACGACCTCCGGGCTCGTGTGCTGGGACCACGGGCTCTCTCTCCTCCGGCTAAGGGTGACCTAGGGGAGGCTACACTGACCCGACCCAGCCAAGGTATGGGTCTCGAGCACTGGCCCTCTCCGTCCTGGCCCTTACAAGGACGTCGGGCCCCGGGAGTTCCCAGGGTCCTAGGCTGGCTGGTTTTCGGTCTTCGGACTGGCCCCGGACTCGTCCAGAGGTCAGGCTTTTATACACCTTCCCAGGTGTGTCCGCCCCTGGCCACGCCTCTCTTCCAGAGAGTTCCAGGGGGGGTCTCGGGGCATCCTAGAACACCCCGCAGCCCCCCCCTGGTTTGGGGCTGGGGAATCTAGCGACCCTCATGCCGATCCAAGTTACTGCCCCTGGTGGGCCCTGTCTGCTACTGCAGGTAAGTACACGTAGCCCATTTACAGCGCTACATATATGTGTGTGAGTCGATGTGTGTGTGTCAGTCCATGTATGTGTAGTGTATGTAACTGAGGCTCACAAACCGTTCTTGGAGGCAACGCATTTATTAACAACTTTACTGTACACTGGGTTCTGTTACTAAGTGGCACGTGTGCTCAACAGGGCCGTGGCACAGACAGATGGGAGGTGGAAGCCGGCGCTGTCGGAGGAAAACCCCCTGAGGGCCGTCGACTTCCATGTGCCCTTCCCAGGGGAGGAGGCCGTGACCGAGGGTAAGTGCACCACCGCTGCATGCTCAGCTGACCCAAGGGGAAGGTCTTCGCCCGCGACCTTATTTCATCCCAAGATGACCTAGGAGTAGTGGCCCCTTGGAGAGATCCATAATCGGAATCTTGTTAATAATTATTTATTTAGACTGTGAGAGGAATCCGATGAGCTATAAAGCTCTTTTTCACAGGTGTCCAGTCTGGGCGGGTCAGCAAGTTACAACAGCAAACAATACAAAAACCATTAGGAGTGCAAAGTAGAGAAAAGGTAAAGCTAGTCACGATAAATAAATACGTAAAAATAAAGTTTATACTTTAAGTATAAATTGTCCGTAAATTCCTTCCGATTTGTCAACAACAAATGCAACCTTGGGGCAAGACAGCAAAAGATCAACAACAGTTCCAGACCACTCCAAGCCAACACACAGTCCCTCAATTAAATTGCACATTAAAATGTGACTATCAATACAATGTGAAGACCTCATTTCAGGCTGCACAACACCAGTAAATATTTTGAACTCTTCCCCAGGTTCACTTTGTCTAATATGATCGCTTCAACACTCCCACATGGGCCGTGCCAGCCTTAATATGTGCTCGGTAACAGCATTCGCTCCTTGATTCTGTGAGGCTAAAACATTGACCTTTATATTGGTTTGTGTATATGGAGTAAGTGGTTCCTATCCAGGCAGACCTTGCCAAAAGTGGGAGTTGTGTTTATGTAAATTTCCGTTTTTGGGCAAAACTGTGTTCAACAAATAATATACCTTATGGTACATATATGGTTGTGTTCCTGGGTTCGAAATGATCACCCCTCTCCCTTAACGAATGCTTTTAAGGTTTCTGCTCTTGTTTTTGTACTGATGGATGCTGAGTCGCTCTTCATTTCTTGTGTGTGTGTGTGTGTGTACACTCTTTATTTTTCAATTTCAACACAAAACACCCATCTCCATTACTCTTCCCGTACCACGCCACTTGCGTGCAGTGCTCACTTTAAAACTGAATTGCCAGCCCGACGCTCGTCCCTGTCACTTGAACGTTAATGATTCGCCATCCAGGCATCCGTATGAAATGAAGTCCTCAACGACTGGACATCTAGACGCATGCGTCAATATGTGAACATTCGAGATGTGCCATTGTGCATGAGGGGAGATGATAATCTTTGCAGCGTCTAACCACATAGAGCCGAAACATCACCCATGTGTTCTGGAAAACGGTACCCTTCACGACCGTGTACCCGTCACGACCGCGTACCCGTCACGACCCCATTCCCGGCACGACTGCGTACCTGACACGACCGCATACCCATCATGACACGCACTCGTCACGACACGTACCCGGCACGACACGTGCTCATCAGGTAATGCGTGTAGCAGAGCCGAAGCGCGCATTCGATGGAGTTGTGTTTGGAAAGGTTTTCCTGCACTCGGTAACAATCCCAGTGACCCATGTTCCAATCATGGCCATGAACTACAGCACAAGTGGAAATTGGCATTCTGCACGAGTTCTGTGGCAACTCTGGGTTAATTCTGTCTAAAATAAACACCCTTTCTGAAAAGAGACAGGAGACTGAGGCAGTGTGGGTTGTGTTGGCACACTGGCCTTTCATGCAAAACCTCATCGTGTCGTGTAATCCTTTAACGGCGACAACAACCCAAAACACGAATGGAACTTACCGAGCAATCATGATTAAGTTTGGTAAAATCACCTTCTCGACCTGCGCAGCATCGGAAGACCCTTATCCAGAAGTTGATTGACATGTACATGTGTATTTTTTAAATAGATGCTGAGTGTTCGGCCAGCAGGGTGGTGCAAGTGGTAACAGTGGTGTTTCACAGCAAGAAGGGCCTGGGTTCAGTTCCCAACTTAGAAACCTATGTGTATGTACCTCCCCCGGTTCTTTATGGATCCCTCCCGATTGTCCAGTTTTCTCCATTGGCCAAACATCCCAATGCTGAAATATTACCTGCACATTACTCAATTGGGATCACACACGGCAGCAACATTGCCCCGACTGCAAAACTTTTCCAGGACCTTCCAGAAAAAAGTCTTGAGAGTTGGTGAGGCCTTCCTGGGTTAACAAGTGTAAGTATATAAAGAAAAAACTTGCCTTGAGTCTAGAACTTGGGCTTCTCCGGACCTCAAGAAGCACCCTGCGTAATCAACAGTAATGCTGTTGAAGCAGTGGAGGCATTTATCTAATTGGGATCTATACAGACCACTGACGAACGATGTAGACCTGATGTCATGCCCTGAATTGGCCTGGCCTCAGGAATAATTAATGGTCTGAACCGCATTTGGTGCTATATTTTGTCAGTGTTGTTGTATGGTACGGAGGCCTGGCCATTGCTTCCAGGCTGTTTTGGATCGACTGCAGTCCTTCCACATGGGATGCCAAAGACCTCTTCTCGGTATCCGATGGTTCGGCGATCGTCAGAAATTTCACCATTGCATCTGAGACCGGTCTCCTAGCGATCGAGAGCTTAGTTTGAGGGCGATGGCTGTCACTTTGTCGACACGTCACCCCGTCTTGATGCGCAGACTCCAGCAAATGGCACTCACTTTGGTTTGGCGGTTGATGTTCAAAGCGGACTGCGACCCTCAAAGGAATGGCTCTGCTCCTGTGGTCACCCCCGTGATCCGTGGATCAAACAAATCACTCGACAACGGTATGACAGCAAGAGCAGTTCATCTGAATGCTGTTGCAAGAGGTCACACGTTTGGCACAATGGATCTTTGCTGACTATGCGTGATATATGAATGAGAGTCCATAATGCATCGCGGTTCTGTGTGGGTGCAGTGTACGACCTTCCAGAGCGGCCCAATGACGCCGCCTCCTTCTACAGCCACATGAGCCGTGTATTGCTGTCTCTCGCGGGGCGTGCGGTCCAGCCGGGAGCGGCTGCAGACACCGACACGGTTGACACGGGTTACGCCGACAGCCTGGAGGACACGGCACAAGCAGAGGTGCCTGGAGATCTTGCGGACGATCGCCCGGTCACTCGCTCGGTCACTATGCTCGGTTACTCTGCTCAGTCATTCCTCTCGGTCACTCGCTCAGTCACTCACTCAGTCAATCCGCTCGGTCACTCCGCTCGGTCACGTCGGTCGGTCACTTACTCAGTCACTCACTCAGTCAATCCGCTCGGTTACTCCGCTCGGTCACTCCACTCGGCCACTTCCTCAAGTCACTCGCTCGGTCAATCCGGTCAGTCACTCGCTCGGTCACTCACTCGGTCACTTCGCTCGGTCACTTACTCAGTCACTCAGTCCCTCGCTCGGTCACTCACTCAGTCAATCCGCTCGGTCACTCCACTCGGTCACTTAGTCACTCGCTCGGTCACTCTTGTTCACTCTGCTCAGTCGCTCCGCTCGGTTACTCGCTCGGTCACTCCGCCCAGTCGCTCCACTCAGTCACTGCGCTCGGTCATTCCATCATAAAGCTCGCTTACTCGCGACTTGCCCAGGTGATCACATATTCACTCATTCAGCTTTTCCCTCAACTAATCATCCACTCATTCTTTCATGCACACTTATTCTCTCACTTCCTTATGCGCTAATTTAATCATTCATTCACTCATTCTCTTGCACGCACGCTTGCGTTCTCACACATCGACCTGCTGGACAATGTTGTGCCTGTAGGATGAACAGAGCACGTGACAAACTCAACACAGTTGTCAATAACACTGGGTCCTTAAAAGGAAGAGTGTATAGTAGATGATGTTTCGGGTCAAGGGCCCTTCATCGTCTCACAGTGAGAGGGTGGACTGATAATATAATTGATGCTGAATGAACTCTGTGCACCTGCAGACTCACCTGAGGGATGACGGTGGCCAGCGGCGCAGCACCAGCAGGTACGCGTTGGATTGCACGTTTCCCCAATGTTAATTTTCGAGGGGAAACTCGGTTGGTTCAGGTTGCTCATCGGGGTTCTTAAGATGGCTGCGTCAGAGCCCTAAATCAGCACGGTTGCACAGTTGAGATCCTAGGTTCAAATCTGGGTTTTGGTCACCCAAGATTAAACCAGGTTCCCCGCTGTTTTCGATCTTTCCATGCCTGAGAACCCAGTTTAATGTTGAGAGGTGGGAGAGCTGCAGTACGGGGCGGTACAAACCTGGATTCAAACCCAGGTTCTCAGTGGAGACAGCTGAGTGTCTCTGACATGGTTTCAGCTTCCTGAGCCACCTTGTCACCCCCCATTCGTCTCTTGGCCAGAGCAGAATTTTATATCGGGGGGTGCTGGCAAATATTTAGGGATGCCAGTTTCTGTATGTGGATAATGAAAGTAGTTATATAATAATGTATTGAGTAATTACAGTGGAACCTCGGTATATGACCGCTTTGGAATACGTCGAATTTGGTATACGTCGTGTTTTTCGAGAGAGAAAATGTCTTGGGATACGACGTCTTGCTTGGGATACGACACGCTTGCTAGAACTTGTATGGGTCGGGATGAGTCACCGCGTATAGTACCCGCGTATTCCCCGTTCACGATTGGTGTAAGTCCTACCTTCTGGAACGAATTAACGATGTATACCGAGGTACCACTGTATTATTATTATTTGGGTCTTTCGGTAAGATCACGTAGATACGTTCAAAGAAAATAGCAAAAAACTACGACGTTTCAATCGCAACACAAGCGGGCGTCATCAGGAAAAGGGGGGTTAGCTTCTAAAGACAACTGTTTATAAAGGATTGAAATGGGCGTAGCCCAAATGTCAGCAGCCAATGTTAATGTAAGTGGTGGGCAGCGACTGCGGCGGTGGTGGGTTTTCCACCAATCAAAGGGCTGCCAGGTAAAAATTTGCATGTAAATGTCCCGCGGTGATTATGTTAATGTGAGAAATTAGCATGTTAATGTTATTTTTTGTTATTTTCTTTGAACCTATCTATGTGACCTTACTGAAAGACCCATTGAATATTAATTCCTGCAGTCACGAAAGCTTTAGGTCAAGATGTATTGAGTAAATAAAATACATTACTTGACGAGTAAATAACGACACATTCATGACTTACACTGACATAAAGGAATTTTTTAAATATATAATTGGCTGCTTTAGGCAAGGACCCTTCTTCATCTATGTGATGTGAACAAGGGTCACTGCCTGAAAGTTGTCTATTAGATTTTCCCTTTTAAGGAGGTGTTATCGATGGATGTGAGTTTTTTGTTACTGAGTAGATTGCATAATGAACTACTCTTTGCACTTGGTACAACTTTGTGTTTCTATCTCATGCAGTAATGCAGTACCAACAAGTAAAACATTTGGTCTGGGTCCATGGAGCACGACCGTAGAACAGAGTTTAACTTTAAGCCCACCGGTGACTGGAATGTACAGGGAAGGTGAGGCCCAACGGGCGACAAGGCAGCATGGCAGCACCTCACTGGATGTGCTGCCCGTGCGGGGACCCCAGAGCGAGGGGGCGGCCGCGGGCGTGGAGGCGAGCGCATGGAGCGCCGAACCCACACTACTGCTCCTGCCGGCGCCCACCATCGGTACGAACGGGCACAGTGCCGCCTCGCTCACTCGCTACATACATCAGCTCGCGCTGACGGCTCGCTCACTCACACAGCAGCTCGCGCTGGCGGCATCGACAACGCTGGTTGTCGTGATGCCTTGAGCTTGACTCGTAGGAATTTTGCCAAAAGGTGCAGTCGTGGTGATGATGTATGCAATTCTGAGAGAGAGGTTGATTGTCGACTATTCGGCCTCCGAATCAGTGGCAATAATTTGCACGCTAAGCGATCATTGATGGGTTGAGGAGAGCACACCTAACGGGTGATTTTTGTCTGCTGAAGGTTACTCCGAAGGACGCGTGACGCTGAGGAACCACACATCACGAGCGCTGCCGTTTGAACTGTCCTGGCCTGCGCACTGCCTGACCGTCACTCCCCATCAGGGTGTGCTCGACCCACAGTGAGTGATGGCCAGACCTGTTCGTGGCCATGTGTATGTGAGAGTGAGAGTATGAGTACTTGGGACGGAGAACCTTCCAGAGTCATGAAAATAGTTCCATCACTTGAATGGTGAAAATCAAATCTTTGTGCTCACGATACATACGTGTGATACGTACGTTAAGTTTATTTTAATTTGTTACACGGTTTATCCTGTTTAGCCAGTTGCCCGGCTATTTTACGAGGGAGATCCATGGTGCACAAGCTTTGCAAATTATATGCAATGTTACCTTTATACGAGACGTGCCGTGACTCGTGGCAGTTCATCAAATAAGCTGAATCGGTACAAGTCTTCTAACTACTGGCCAACTGCAACATCAATGCAATTGGTGAAGCTTGGAGAGCTGAATGGAGTTCAAAATAACTCCCAAACTAACACCTTGTGTGGTGAAAGACCCAACGCAGAAGATCTCTGGGTTTGATCCTCCACGAATACACCTTTAAAGATCAGCACACTATAATCAAAACTCAAAATCATGCATTGCAGCGGTCATCCTGAACGATACATTTGATTTCAGGCCATTCTGAAGACTTTGCTGTTTTTTCCTGGATTTTTCTGTTGCGTGTAGTCACTTTAAGATGTTTCTTGTTCATGTTTTGTTTGTTTCGGTTGCACCTGAGTCAAGAGACTCATGGCTCACAGGGTTATACCTAATAAATGAAACTGAAACTGAAAACTGAAGCTCATGGTCCACCCTAAACTGCATCCACTGCACAAACCATGGCAAATTCAGATACCTGATGCACATGTAGTGACATAGAACGGTCACTACTGTGTCGGCCCGTACGAGGGCTGGGGGCCCCAAGGGGGCGCCTGGGGGGTCTCGTGGTGGAGGGACCCGGACCTTCCCAGAGGTGGGGAAGGGAGGCGTGGCCTGGGAAGGGAGGAGTGGCCTGGACTGAGCCAGCCACGCCTGGGCGGAGCCGGCCACGCCAGAGCAGATATAAGCGTCGTGTGAACGCAGCTCGAGGCTGTTGTACTCCGAAGTGAAGACGACATCATCGGTTCTCAAGTCCCGGGTCGTCGTCCTGGGCCAGGCAGGCCGTGGCCTGCCTGGTCCACTCTGTGTCATGTTCCAGAGTGTTAGTGAGTTGAGGAAGGTGGTCACCACCTCATGTACAGTGTTATATTACTTACCGTTTAATAGTGTTGCCTCCAAGCTGCGTGTGTGTGCACCTAATTCGAACCCACTACACACAAATGAAAGATTAAACAAATCTCCAGTAGTGTTCGACTGTGGTCATCCAGAACAGACAGTGCAATGTATAACGATGCAAGTTCCGATCCACAAATACGAAAGAAACATCAAGGCGATACACTCCGCTACCCCTGACTCCGTTGTCTAGCTTGACCACCTGAATGTGAAATTGTAGTTGTTGCTCTTCTTCTTTCCTATGGTTGATGTAGTTGTTGCAGTTGGTGTCTAAACATGTCCTTTGCTTCCTTTAGGTTAACTCGGCCTAAAGTTAGTTCTTGTTGCAGTCTGGTCATGAACATTAGTACGAGATAACAAGGGCAATTGTGTTGATGTGATGTTGGTCACATGATGTGCTTGTGTGCTACGCAGGTCTTCTTCGTGCTTGCCTCGACATGTGTAATATTGGATGGGGGTAACTTCTGTGGGGTGGTGTTGTGTCCTCTTAGGGTAGTGGTGGCCAAGTGGTTCACGTACTGCATTACAACCTACATGGACCAAGCTTTGATCCCAGTCATGCAAATCAATAGCAGGTGGTATCAGAAGCTGTCCTGAGCATCCTGTGGGTCAAGCTAACCTAAAACGATTACCCAGGTACAGGGTGTAAATATCAGCATTTGAGTGACACATTCAGCCGGCCGAAGTGGCTGAGCAAAATTCCCTTCCAGTGACTGCAGTGACTGAGCGTGCTAACATTATAAATCCACCGTTGTCTGGTCAAAAATGTCCCGCTCTCGTAACTGATTCGTGCGGCTTAGATGTCAGCAGTTATCAGTGTCAGATACATTTCATTTGTGAGCTGTTGCTGATTGGTAGATCTCATGGGGCCAGGATTATTTTAAAGCTGAGCTCTCTTATGTGCGTGTGAGCAGGGGGGCGCTGCTCATCCTGGTAAGCCCCACGTCATCTACGTCTGCAAAAACGAAGCTGCCCTGGAGTGGCCGGCTTTACGTGCACTGTGACAACCAGCAGCAGGTAGGGGCTGTGCAAGGAGCACACCTGAACTTAGCCTGCACGCAAATGTGTGTGTGTATATGTGTGAACAGGTTCACAGGTTTTACTGTGTATTTCTGTGAGGTTTTGGGGGAGGGGAACCCCCTTAGCTCTAATATTATTATAGGGCAAGGTGGGGTTCACCTTGCTGGTGCTGCTGTGCCCCAAATATTGGAGGAAATCGCCACTCCTTAGCGATTGGCTGATGATTCCTCTGTTGAGCAAGTGTGTAGGGTGATCCTGAACTTGAAACCAGGTAAAGCTCCGGAGAGAGATGACCTCTCAGCCAAACTGGTGAGGCGGAGGGTGGCGTTTTTGTGCAGACTATCCAATTTGACATCATTACAACCGTCTTGGTGCACAGGACGGGTTCCACAAGATTGGATGGATGCCCTGGTGGGCCCCATTTTTAAAAAGGGTGACCACACTGACTGCAACAACTACCAGAGTATCTCCCTCCTCGGTGTCCTGGGAAAGGTGCTGGCAAGAATAATTTAACATCGCTAGATATGCTATGGAGAAGCTTGCGGAGCCCGAATGTGGTTTTTGTCTAGAGCGGTTCTGCACTGACACCAATTTATATGTCTGTCTGTATGCTACAGCAGAGGTCAACAGGACCTACATCTTTGCTTTATTGACCTGGTCAAAGCCAGAGCTTTGGGTTATTCTCCATGCTTTTGGAGTCCCAGACGTCTGCTTATAATCATTAAGGACCTTCATGATGATGGGCAGGCTCGGGTAAAATTGCGAGGCTGAGTGTCAGAACAATTTTCTGTTCACCTTGGGGTACGACAGGGATTTCCTCTGACCCCAACACTATTTAAGACTCTTCCCATGGATGTACCGGTGGAATTCCCATCTAATATAGATACAATCGGAGATTGATTGATGCTCGGGTACAGTCGAGATGGCTACCTGGCCTGTCACTCCATACAAAGCTCCGGGTTTTCTCGGCCACAGTTATGCCCTCCCTTCTCTTTGCTTGCAAAACGTGGGGACCTAGAAAGGAACATCTGTCCCAGTTAGCACCGTCTGCGCGGCTAAAACACAGAGTTTGCACAATGGGGAGCACAGGTGGTACATCTGCCAGTCATCTCAGTCAGCCAACCCATGGAATCAGGGTCTGTGCCTTGACCTTCTGTCAGTGAGCCTTCGACATTCGACATAGCCTCAAAGTGCACCTGGCCTGACACAGGCGCCGTGGTGATGTCACCGCCACTTCGTGGGGAATGGCGGTTGTTGTTGTGTACACACAGATACACACACCAGTTAGTGCAGCAGTTAGCATGCTGCACTACTTTGCTGGCGACCTGGGTTCGATTCCCGCTCATGGTCACCATCAGTGACGATTATCTGAACTGGTCCAGAGCCTCCCCTCGGTCTACTCAGCCACAAATGAGTACCTGGTGCAATGTGTAAACATCGCCACTATGCTGCGCATGGTGCTGGCCACCTGTCCCCCTCGTGTGCCATGCCGGCCTGAATTGGTGCTCACTAACAGCACTTTCCCCAACGGTCTGTTAAGGCTATACGAGGGGTGTTTTTGTACAGCCCTTTCATAACTCTACTGCTGGATAAGGGGCTTCCTCATGCCGTGCAGATTGTGGCGGTTATTTGACCATACTTCGTCTTGCTGGTTATTGTGGGTTGGTGAAGCCAAGGAACATTGTTGCACTGTCCTCTGCTGACACTGTAGCCCCACAGCCTATAACACCTGTGTTGCATGGTGGTCGCCCATCCAGGCACTACATGTTCAAACCCTGCTGAGCTCTCAACATTTTATGAGATTACATGCATTCTGGGTGGTTTGGTCATAAGTACAAGCAAATATACACACTTGAATGAACGTAAAATATCTGCAACATTTCAAAACGTCTTTACAATACATCAACCCACGCGCATTAGCATCCGATTCTGGAAAATCCGAGGTGGACTTTGGTTGCCTTTTCAATCTGGAACTGCGAGCAGCCATGCATCTCATCACTCGCGTCACTCTCGCATCACTTGGGCGCCGTCCAGGTGGTGCGCGTGCAGATCCGAGAGGATCTGGTGCAGGCTGACATGGTGTCACCAGGCCCCGCGGTGGGACGCACGCTCGCCGTTCCACACGCCACGCCCGCCACACCTGCCATCCCACCCGCCATGCCGCCCGCCTTGCTCGCCACACCGAGCATACAGGCAAGACGGTCTCTGCCCTTGCCAGTGCTCGGCGGCGTGGAGGTGTCCAACAAGACCGTGTACTTCCCAGCGACACGCGTCGGAGAAACGTCCAGTGAGTTCCACGTTTGTTCCGCCTGTCGTATTGTTTCGTGAATCGCGCAAACGTGAGTAGAGGAAGCGCGGTTTTCTGGAGCTCCTGTGGGTGGCAGAGCCTCCTCCATTGACTCACCCGGCAGCCTTCTCTCTCCACCACTTTCGTGCCCTCTGTCCCACCAACAAATGATTTATTTTCAAAACCCCCAGTCAGCATTCACGGGACGGTGACACAGCTCCAGTGGTAGCGCGTTCACCACTTGTTTCAGAGTTTCGCGGTTCAAATCCAGTAGGCCACCCTGGTTAACACTGCGCGTGTATTTATCGTAAATAAAATATACGCACCATCTGCCTGAGAGAAAACATTAAAGATCCCGTAATGCCATTGTGTGCCTGTTTTGTCATTAAATTTGTGAAATATTCTGCAAATTCCTCCATTGGAATTACACAGCAAATCGCTCCCTACTGTGAAACGACTGCAGTCCGCGTCTGTGACACAGTAGTGCCTTTGTGATAGCCTCGCGTTATAAAAATGGTGCGAATACCAAACGTACTATCTTCTTACTCAGTCTCGTCTGCTGCGGCACTTGTCTGAAATTGCATTCCTTCAGCCATCTGTGCTGTCGGCTCTCAACCGCTGTTCAAGGCCAAGCTATAAAGACCTTTTTTTCCCAAACCCTACAACTGACTGCCTCTCTCTACAACATAAATATATGTACAGCACAAATATATAGCTCTTAATAGGTGCTTGCAAACAACACTTGCCATCAAATAGATTTGTGATTCATAGCGGTGGTAGTTTTGATGACGTACATGCGTATGTGGTTGCACCAAATCTGTCGTTTGTCACAGAGGCTGCGCTGGAGTTCACCAACCGTGGCACTGAGGAGGTGAAGTGGTACCTCACCTCCTTTGCTCCTCCGTATGTCAAGGTGGGCAGCTGCTGTGCGGTCATCAGAAACACGTCAGCCTTGTGTATGTGTGTGTGATCAACAGTGATGATTTCTGGACACGTTTAGGGACTGTGTAGGTAATTTACGTTTTAACATTAATCTGTTGGCCTGGGATTGGTGTCATCACTGATGAATTGTGGTAAAGTGAGTCTCGAAAGTTTTGCTGGTTCGAGGCCACCAATGGAGATGAGCATTGCTCAGCACCTATTTGACCCAAGGGAACAATGAACCAATAATTCTAACACTGTAATTTGTGAGAAGCTGATCAAACACAAAGGTGCGTGCAGGCTAGATGCGCATGTGTGTGATAATCCACGTAAAAGTTTTTTATTTCATCTTATCACGGTTATTAAACACATGCCCAAAGGCCCAAACGCCAAGTGGCCAGTAGAAAATAACGCAATTGAAGTTGATAGACAACGCTTAAAATGTAAACCCAGCTCCTCATCAAGGGTGGGAGGTATGAACAAGTGAAGTGAAACATCTATGCAGCAAGAAAGGGTGTTTGGTTCTTTTGTTGTACCTCACACGTCACGCGACATCGCCGTCCGGCTGAGGCTGTTGTCTCACCACCCCCACCCCCCCCCCGTGGCAGGGAGTGGCTGGCTCTGGTGACGTCTTCCGTGCCACCTACTCCACCTTCCGCTTCTCACGCATGGCCGGCACGCTGGAGGCCGCTGGCAAGGCCACGGTGAGTGCTCCCCGCCCCACTCCCGGCCACCAGCTCCACTCGCACTGATGGCCGCCACTGCCTAGGTCAGCCTTTGACCAAATTGCCCTTTCACTCGTGAACTAAATTTCTTTTAATTTGTGAATGCATTTATAAGATGCATGATGTGAACTTTAAAGATGAAATTCAGAGGTTCAGGGGAAATAACCCACTTAGCTATATAGCTCTCTTTTCAGAAGTGACCTGGCCACAAATGATATCTCAAAAAAGTGGCTTATTATGATGACATTTATAGTAGCCAAATATTCTAAATGGATGTTGGTGCAAAATTTGGAGGGAAAACCGGAGGACCCAGAGAAAAATCCACTCGACCACAGGGAGAACATGCAAACTCCAAATATGCAGGCGTCAGGGTCAGAATCCAACCCACGACCACCTTTATGCAAAGCGAGGTAGTTAACATCTCGCCACCTTGTTTTAATAAGGAGGAAACCCCTGAACCAGATTGGAGGTTGCGAGATGCAATGTACAATGAGACTGGAAGCTAAGTATGCCGGTTGACCCAGCATGCGTGCTTTATAACCGAGGATGACAACTTTATATAGGATGTGTTGTTAAACTGATAACCAGAGAGCTTGATATCGAAGATCAGGGGAATGGATGGAGGGAGCACATCTAGTGCTGAGTGCTATGCAACCGGATTGAGCCTAGATAGCTCAGATGGGTGGCCACCATGCACCTCAGGTTGCTATTGGCAGCAATGGGGCTGTGCTATGTTGGCAGCAGGCAGGGAAGCAAACTCCGTTCTTGTACTGTGCTTCTATGCTTCCACACTCATGTTCTCCACTCCCACCAACTCTCACTAACCAACCTGGTGAAACATGGTCCAATAACCCCCACGACGCACAAGATGTGGAGAGGCCACATCTTCCAACAGTGGCTTGACAAAAAGGGATCTACATGTACCTGTTTACCCCAAGCTCTACCCAGCCTGAATCAAGCGCCGCATTTGTGGATACGTCTTAGTTGACGCAACCTGAAATGACAACTTTTTGACAGCTGTTCTCAGACGAACTCATCCTGAACCAGGAACCTGTTATAAAGACCTCTCCTAGGTCACTTCATTCTGAAATGTTCAAACAGCGAAGTCCTCCCCCAGATTCAGTCTGAAATGGGACCTAATAAGAATTTCCCCTGGATCAACTCGGCCTGAAATGAGAATCCAGGGTAGCCTCCCCGAGGTCCACACAGCTTGGAATGATTACCGCAAAACGAACCTCTCCTGGACTGCAGTGAGCACCAGCGTTCTGTGTTTGTGTTGCTGCGCAGGTGTGGGCTGAATTCATGCCTCGCGATGGGGGACGCTACGCCCAGTTCTGGGACCTGGAGTGTCACCCCGAAGGGCACACACACCTACGGGACCACACACGTGTGCAGCTTTCGGCAGAGGTGTACAGCACACGCATGCGTGTGTGTGGCGTGCGTGTGTAGCGGGGCACAGGTGGTGCATCGGCCAGTCATCTCAGTCGACCCATGGCACCTGGGTCTGCCCCGTGACCTCCTGCCAGCAGGCGTTCGATACTTCACGTGGCCTTAACGTGCACATAGCCTGACACAAGCGCCGTGGTGATGTCACCGCCACTTAGTGGCGAATGGCGATTGTTGTTTGTTGACACAGTAGTTAGAACGCCCCAGCGCTAAGGAAGCAGGGATTCGAGTTCATTTCTCGGCAATGCCTAACATCAGTGGCGAGCGATATCGGAGCCAATCCTGGCCCTCACTTCGGTCGTCTCAGCCTTAAATTAGTGCCTGGGTGTGGCTTTGTGTGGTCGTGGCCACCGGCCCCCCTCGTGTGCTGTGCCATCATTCATAGGCGCTGCTTGCTAACAACACTTGCCCCAAAAGTCTGTTAAGGCTATACGAGGGTTATTTGTCTTGTACAGATGTGTATGTTTGTGAGGAGCAATAGTGCTGCGGTTCGTGCGATGCACTACGAACCTGGGCCTCCCCTAGGTCGACTTGGCCTCAAATGATTACCTGGTGCAGTATGGAAACATCGAGACCACCCTCTCCCTTGTGCGCCGTGCCGGCCTTCATAGGTGCTCTCTCACAGCACTTGCCCCAACACTGTAAAGGCTATACGGGGTACATTTTTTTGTACGTAAAAAAAATGTACGAGGCTCCTTAACATTGAATAATTGTGATAAATGAATAAATTTGTTATTCACATGTTATTGTGATCCTGCATTGGCCGTGGTGCTTAAGCAGCACATGGCCCGTCTTCATAGCAGAGATGCTGTAAGAAGGGCCCATTGCCCAAAATGTTGCCAATTGTGATTTTTTTTTTCCCATTTCATGGCATTTTTTGATGGTTGTGCTGAGTTTTTGTTGAATTGTTTATAGGGGTTGATTTTCTTACATTAAATATTCTAAGTTACAGCCCATCGAACGTGTGTGCACATGCGGAAAACCCCGCAACGACACCGCATCCACCATCGGAGTTAGTCCAAACAGCTGGAAAAACTGCCACAGAATAAATTAACTCCAGGGAGGAGGGTTATGAAGGATTAACAGACCCAAGGTTTAGGAGCTTTTGATGAAATGCAAATTTCAGCGTGGGGTTCGCCTGGTATTGAAGTCCTTGCCAACAGAGGGGTACCTGCTTCAAAGCCCCGCCGTGCTTTTAATTTTTAAAGTGTTGGCTTTTTATTTATTTTTATTTCCCTCCTAAAAAAAAAATCCCAGTTTTTCAATTAAAGCCCCTTTGATGCCTCTGAATTTGAATGTGATGCGGGGAATTGTATTGGATTCTTATCCTTTATATTTGTCGTGGTTCCCTCCCTAATGAGTGGGAGATGGGTGCTTATTAAATGCGTAAGTGTGCGCCCGCGCGTGCGTGTGCATGTGTACGCCGGAGCGCGTGCGCAATATGCAAACCATAATTACATACTTGCAAGGCCAGCCGGGTGGCACTGTCGACAGAGTTGGAGTTGTGCTATCGCTGAGGGTGCGAGCGCAAAACCCAACTTGGGCTGCGTGCAGCCACTACTGTGTGGGAAGTTAACAAAAATTGTCCTGTGGATAGAATGACCGCTTGTGAAAGACATGTGGAATGTCCACCACTGGGTCGGGGTAGAGATGTTTGCCACCCCACACACTAGCTTGAGCATCGACGCTGAGGACCTTTGAGCGGTTTATTCATAAACGTGGCCTGAGTAAGCCAATGGCTTGATTCTTGCTGCAGCTTCCCGACCATAAGTGTGTATGTATGTTGGACTTCTTTCGCACCGTACGTCACCAACTGTGCTTAATCAGAGATACGGGAGGACAAGAAAAATATCTGTGCATTGTTACCAAAGCTTGCCTGCTGTTGTGAAGTGGACATTAAGGACCCTTCTGACTTCATTCACCAGAGTAGGCCAATTTTACTCTATATTTAAACACTGTTAGTTCTCAACTCTGTTAGTGGCTCAAATTGAAACATTGGTGGAAATTCCACATTCCCATGGAAAAGGCCAGTCCATCCACAGGACAGCTGCCAATGTGTGACGGTGTCATCGTAATGATAACTCATTGCACAATGCACCAACATGTTGTTTAACCGGTGACGGTGACGATGAGATTCAGGACGTTGGAATCGGCCCAGTATTATCCTCTAGCAAATAATTTGTCCTCAAGGCTCATATAGACTGATGGACCAAAAGGATATTTTAATTAATGTTTATGTGGTAAAAAAGTTACTTTATTATTTTATGATGATGGATAATTGACACTTTATGTTGGTGACCACTGACTGCACTGACCAGTGGCATAGCTATGAAGTATAGAGGCCCAAGTGCCCAGGGGCTGGGCTATGCCAACTACAATACACCACTGCCATTGACCAGCTACAGCAGTCCACCTCTAGTGTGCGTACACCCTGGAGCGGGGGGCTTAACGATGGCACCTTGTCCATCGCAGGCACTCGGGGAGACACTGGGCGGAGGCACCGACGCGGAGGCAGTTCCTGTGGGCCTTGTGAAGACGGCGCCGGCACCGAGCCCACCGCGGGCGCGGGATGGCACTGAGCTCCCCACGCCAGCCCAACACAGCCACGGCTGCCCGGCACACGAGGACGGGTACACCCGTAACCCGCACCCGCGTACCCACGGCTCTCACGTGCACACGTCATCTTTAGCTGTGGGTTTGCTCGCACACTTTTCAGAATCCTTAATTTAAACGCTACTGGTGCAGCGGACCGATGAGGAGGTGTGGGACCCACCGTGCTCCTGCACAGACTTGGACTAGAATCCTGCTCTTTTAACGCTGTAGCAGACCGTCCACCGTGTTTTGGGCTAACGGTGCGCGTTGCTTTGTGGGATGTGTGGGCAGGAAGGGGAGTGCTGGTGCCACCGCTACCACCACCGCTGCTGGTGGGCTCTATGTGCCCCGGGAGTCATACTCCTTCCCCCAGACGGAGCTCGGCTCCTCCAGCACTGTCAAGGTGTCGATCCGGAACAAAACGTCGCAGCCACACACCGTGAGTGACCGTCCCAACTACCACCGCCACACGCAGTCCACACGGCACCTCCTTGAGCCCTCGGAACACTTGGCATGCAAACAAATAAAATGCACAATGTAACTTGTGATGCGCCAAACATCCTGGTGCAAAACATTACTCAATTGGGATTACATTTTGGAACGTTGCCCCCCCCGCCCCCTACTGTGACAACTTAGCAGGACCCTCCTGACAAAGGGTCTTGAGACTCGATCAGGCTCTCCTGGGGAACTAGCGTAATAGCGGTGACAACAACAATAGCAATAAACAGATACAGGTGCTGCTCGCTCAGCCCTCGCTTGCAGAAGAGAAGACTAAAAGTCCAAGTGACGTCCATCTGAAAGGAGCATCGAGGCATTCTTGTGGTGGGAGCAAGTCTATCCAAGTCCGAGTCAATCACCAACCAGGATTTTAACTCGCAACTTGATTCCGAGCCACCTCTTCCATCTTGTTAAAGAGAACATTGAATCCCACCAAATTTCTCTTCTGTGGTTACATCGGAGATTGAATTGCATTTCCGACGTAAATGTCTCGGGGTGCGGGCCATAAAGATGAGACTCTCACTGTCTCCACACAGCACGAAATGCAAAGCTGGTAATGCATGGGATCACTGAGCGGCCTCTTCAGGTCCAATAATGTTTTTAAAGATGTTATCGCACTCATCTAATAATTGGCAGCAAGGTGCTGCGCTCATTCGCTAATTTTATGGCTGCATTTTGATGCATAAAGCAGCCCATGTATACTGTGACATTACGGAGGTTACCTGCTGGGCTGTGTTGATGATTCCTAACAAAGGCGAAACCAGCACATGAACTCGGCTGTAGGCATCACCTCGCTGCAATGTTTGTTATTTGAACTAGACGAAGCTTTTTGACCTTCCAAAAGCTGCCTGTTAACACTATTGACGTTTGAACTATGCAATCCCTTCTGGACCTTATTCCCTGAGTATATGGAGTACATTTGACCATTGATTCGTCAATAGGAGTAATCTGCAGGATCCGATGGGAAACTTTGTTTAGCTGTGCCCGTGGGACAGGGATGTGTGTGTGTGTTTTAAAGTCACCGGTCTATTGGTAAGGCTGTCCCGTTTAGACCGCAGAATAACACAATTCAAACTCAGGAGTGGTGTACTTGTGTCACTCCTCGACGGTATGTGTGGGATGCGTTTCCTTTTGCAAGGAGTTCCAGAATGCAAAATGCTTGGCTTTGGGACAAGATGCCACCGGCATTGTTGATTCTATACATTGGGGTTAAAAGTGCATTCACAGAAAAAACTACCAGCGGAGAATGGTGACATTTCTTCTTGCACATGTAGTGTTTGTGGATTCAGGAGACGTCGGAGATGGTTCTTGGAGGCAACACTTTTTATTAACACCACACTCGGCAGTACAGTCCCAGAACACTCAGGGCTACACCACTGTCTGGAGAGGTACTGCCTCCGGGCTAACTTGCCCTAACACAGGACTACACTCAGGGTCCTCCGGCTATGGGTGCCTCGGGGGAGGCTATTCTAGCTCGCCCTAGCCAGGGTGCGAGTTCCGACCACTGAGCCGCACAGAGTCCCGGCCCTGATAAGGACAGCAGCCCCTCCCCTGGCGGTACAAGGTACCGCCCGAGATGGGCGCCGTCCACCATTCCAGGTAAGTGCGGCCCATCTACGGCGCTACACACACGTTGCTTTGTCACCCAGAGGCAAATCAAATCCAAGGATAATTTCCAAGACAAATCCCTCCAAAAAAACCTTTATGCCAAAACTAATTCCTGTCCCGTTTTCACGTCCGTCTTGTCGTTGCAGCTGAAGTTTGTGTGTACGCGAGCTCCTTTCCACATTCAGCACTCGAACCACTTGATCCGGTAAGCAGGGAGCCTTGCCATCACCCTCCATTGGGAACACCATCACACGCATACACGAGTATACGCGCGCACACACGCACACGCGCGCACACACGCACACAAAGACAAAGATCCCCCATATAACCTTAACAGATTGTTGGGGCAAGTGCCAATGAAGGCCCGCACGGCACACAATGGAGTGGGTCTCGAGCACCACCGCTGCCTTTCTCTCCCCATTGGCGATATTTACTACACACTGCACTAAGTATTCATTGGAAGCTGAGTCCACCTCGGCGAGGCCCAGGACCGGTTCAGATAATTGTCACTGGTGTTGACCGTGAGCATAAATCAAACCCGGATAACTGAGTTCAAAGCGCAGCGCGCTAACCACTACACTACCGCTCTCCGCACGCATGCATGTGTAGTGACATCAGGGATATCACTGTATGGTGCTGGCCCAGAAGGGTCGTACCGTTCGATGTTCCTACATCGTGGACAGTACCGTGTGGGTGGCTGTGTGTAATACTAGCCCTAGCGGGGCTTGGCGAGCACTGGGATAGTGCGGGCACCATGCACAGTGGGTGGTGGGGGCTCCCCCGAGGGGGAGGGGGTGAATGTCAGCCCAGGCGCAGGGTTGCCCCGGGCCGTGGCACTCTGGTTGACCCCGTAGACACGTCATCCGGAATGTCCACACAGGGGGCTCCAGGTGGGGGGGACTAGTGGGTGACCATGTGTCCGGAGAGAGCTCTTAAGAAGGATCGAGAGGGAACGAGAATGTTCAGGAAGGCGGGCGGGGCCGAGGGCGGAACGGCCCTGATCGAAGAGGGATATAAGGCGGGTTCCTGAGAGGGACCGAGGTCGCTGCATTCAACAAGCTGGAAGCTCTACATCTCAAGCTGAAGCTCCATCCTACGAGGAAACCACGTGGTCGTAGACCCGAGTGAGGGATCGACCCTTTGTAGCAGTAAGTCGCTGTATTCTGGTAAAGGGGCAGTTACCACTTTGTGTTATGGTGTTACAAATAAAAGTGTTGCCTCTAAAAGGAACAATGTCTGCGACTCAATTGGACCCACTACGACTGGTGTCGGAAGTGGCCAACACGCTAGTTACTCAAGTAAGCTGTAGACTTTACACGTTGCGGACCAAGTACCTGGACGTAGGACGACGAGGACTTCGTGCAGCTTGCAGCTCCGGAGGATGCGGGGAGATGCTGTCAGCGGAGCCGGGTGCCATCCGGGCGCTCGATGCTTCGCTGTCGGCGACCCTCCGGGAGGCGCACGAGCGTCTCGCAGAGCTCCTCCACACGGCGACTTCGCTCTTAGCGGAGTTTAGCCTTGCGATCTCGCCGGCGACGGGAGGAGTGGCAAGACCGCTCGTGAATGGCAACTCTGCTGCCATTTCACGACGGGCGGGAGACGCGGTGGCGTAGCCCGCGCGATCGGCCACCATTTTACCGCCTGCGCGAAGCGCGCAGCCTGACAAACTTGAAGGTGCGCCATCGGCGCTGAGGGACAGCCCGGCTCTCCAATGTCGGCTTCCCTTTGTCGAAGACTTCATGGCTCCCGACAGCGATTGGGTGGCTTTCAAGCGGCGGTTCCTCGCGAACGCCGGCTTGGCGGGGTGGTCGGAGAAGGAGGTACTGTGGGCGCTACCTGTCGCCCTTGACGAAGGCGCCCTTGCAGCGTTTCTCGCCATCCCGCCGCTGAAAAGATCCACCTTTACGCAGGCCTTCGATCTACGGGCCTCCAGCGGACGCACGCCACAAAATCGCCAAGTGCGTCCGAGCCCAGCAACTTTTGCATCGGGACGGGGCGCTGGCGACTTGCGCTGTGTCCCGCACGGAGCCGGGACCACCGCATAGTGTCATTTTTGTACAAGTGGGTTGAGGTATTTATTTATTTTCTTGTTATTGTTGAGGCACACTGTTTTTTTGTTCGTTGCATTTCACTTATTGTTCATTGAGGGGCTAGTTGACAGCTGGGAAGGCTAGATGCTACGAGGGGGGGGGGGGGGTGATATAGTGACATCAGGGATGTCACTGTATGGTGCCGGCCTGGAAGGGTCGTGCCGTTCGATGTTCCTACATTGTGGACAGCACCATGTGGGTGGCTGTGTGTAATACCAGCCCTAACGGGGCTTGGCGAGCACTGGGATAGTGCGGACACCACGCACAGTGTGTGGTGGGGGCTCCCCCGAGGGGGAAGGGGTGAGTGTCAGCCCAGGGGCAGGGTTGCCCCGGGCCATGGCACTCTGGTTGACCCCATAGACACGTGATCCGGAATGTCCATACAGGGGGCCCCAGGTGGGGGGACTAGTGGATGACCATGTGTCTGGAGAGAGCTCTTGAGGAGGATCGAGAGGGAACGAGAATGTTCAGGAAGGTGGGCGGGGCCGAGGGTGAAGAGGCCCCGACCGGAGAGGGATATAAGGCGGGTCCCTGAGCGGGACCGGGGTCGCTGCATTCTACAAGCTGGAAGTTCAACACCTATAAGCTGGGAAGCTCTACGTCTCAAGCTGAAGCTCTCCGTCCTACGAGGCAACCACATGGTCGGAGACCCGAGTGAGGGATCGACCCTTTGTAGCAGTAACTCGCTGGAGTCTGGTAAAGGGGCAGTTTACCCCTTTGTGTTACGGTGTTACAAATAAAAGTGTTGCCTCTAAAAGGAACAACGTCTGCGACTCAGTTGGACCCACTACACATGCACGCATGCACGCACACACACGATTACACGCGTACACGAGTGCAGACATGCTTACGTAACGCACGCACATACACACGTCTCCACCACTCCTCCTTCCACTCAGACCAGAATTCCAGCCATCATTTTTCTTTTTCCTGGAAAAAAAGGAGGAGGACCCGGCAACCCGGGGGAGACTGTTGGCCTGACCACGCTTGCGCCATCGCGAGTCCAAAGTCCCGGCTATGCTCGATCCCAACGCGGTCGCCCTCGATTACCCGCGCTATTTCCGTAACGCTCTCATCTGGGTTCTATGACCGTTAATTATTTCAAAATCTGAGTTATTTGCACCAAAAGTGTGGGGCAGCGCGCTTATGTCTTGTTTACCGTCCACATTTAGAATCAGAACCTTTATTTAGCCTGGAGAAATCCGATAAGGAATGATGCCCTTTTTCACAAATGTTGGTCCATTTTGGCGTCATCTGGTCCAACTCATGTGAGACTAGGCTCTAAGGAAACCTGTCTCGGGTGTGGACCAATCAACTTCAACGACAGTGCACATTATCAGAGTTATGTCTTTTGTTTGTATTATGACTGCAGGTATTGCGGTCTATGCAAACATGACTCCTTGTAAAAAGGTGTCAGTTTTGTTGCCAGATAGAAGGGTAAAAAACCAATTATCTTGCTTCCGTGAAGGGAAAGTACTTTCACAGAACAACTGCTGTTGACTACCTACTAAATAGTAATAATTTTTCGTTGATCTGGATTTCGACCTTAGTATTGTGAGCCGCACAATCTGACCACTGCCACCCAGCTGAGTGTTAATGCAGGAAACTGAAACTGAACATTGAATTTACCTAAACATCAGCCCGAGCGTGGTGGTAGTGCACATCTGTGGTCCAGACACTTGGAGGCGATAGGGCAGCGACGTGCATTGTGCAGCGTGTACCGCAAATATATTTTCTGACCTGTCCCCTGCTTTTAAAGCGTTCCTCTGGACATCTTGATTTCCTTCCACAGTGACCATATTGTCCTGTCAGTGTGTCTCAAATAGACTGCATCTGTGTGATCCACCAATTTTACCTCAAGTGCTACAAGTTTTGAAAAAAAAATCATTTAAGGGGCTCATAAATTCAACTCAATCGTTTTCCTTTTCCATTACACACCAAAAAACAGGATGCCTGCATTCAACTGAACATGACTTTATCTCATGGAGGCCATGGAGTATCTAGTAGTAATTTTATATATTTGTGCGTGTTTTTATGCGTGCAATTCAAAGCAACGCTATTTTTTTTTTATAAACACAATTAGCGGACTGTGTTTTGTATGGCAAGCATCGTCACCACATGTTCGCGATTGTTCACGACCGCCACATAAGGCTTTTTTTAGCCCACCGTCCCTGGCTTTGATTAAGAAGTAAACTTTGTTTCGCCAAAGCGAAAACGCACAGACGAGGGGCGTGCACAGGGCGGGTGGCCATGCGGATGGACAGCCCGGTGAGCCACTAGCGGTGGATGCGGTGGTGGTGTGTTGTGACGCAGCCTGGCGTGGCCATGCAGGGGAGTGGCCGTGGCTTCACTCAAAGTTTGGTTTTATGAAGGCAGTTCAATCATAATTAGTCATGCTGTAAAGTTATTTCATAACAAAACCGAGTCGGGGATGAGAACTTCCCTGTGAGAGCCTCTGAGGCAGTGGAGTTGTACAAATGTCCCTCCTGGTGAGTGCCTCTCGTGAAGTCGATTCGGTCAGCAATGGTCGCACTGCATGACGTCATGTATCACAGTGCAGTCAAAATTACCAGAAAACGTGGGTCCGTTAACAAAGACTGTTCATTGAGAAAATGACCACCCATTGACGGCCTTTGTCTGGACAAAAGTCAAAGTGATGTCCTGTGTGGACGGGCACTCGTCTCCTGTCTGTACCCCTGAATCAAAGTTGTAAATTCCACAGTCCTGAGTCTATTCGCAGGACCTCCATTGTTGTATGGGAATTCTATATTTGATGTCCTGCAGGCTGTGATTGGTGACGGTTTGATGTGACAGCAACACAGGGGAGGGCTTCCCAGGGCGCCTCCTTGGTATCCGAATGCCTTCGTCACGTTCCCTTTCTTTCTCTCTCACAATGCCTCCTCTGTCTCTCTGCTGCCCACACCACTCCCTCAGGGCCCAGCACTACGTGAATCTACCGGTGCAGTTCAAGCCACTGGTGGCCGGCACCAGCGAGGGGCTTCTGGTCATCGAGACGGCGCCAGGGAGCAGTCTGTCCGTGCGCCTGCACGGGGAGGCCATAGCCGCCCCACAGTGATGCACAGAGAGGAGGATGGGGGGAGATGGTGCTTTCCTATCAGGCTATCGATGATCTAGCACGCTCCAGCACTCTTGTGTACAAGCATGTGCACGTGTGTGTAGACGCGTGTCCTTGTGCACACAATCGTGCTTTCTTGTGTACTCTTGTGTACGGGTGTGTTTGTGCTCAAAAGCACGTGCTCTCGTGATGTGCTTGCTCGTACATACGCACTTTCACGTGCTCATACGAATATGCGCGGTCATGCACGCACGTAAACAGTACTTATTGCTCATACACGCACGGTGTGCGTTCATAGGTCATTCACAACAGCAAATGCATGTGTTCACGCACACATGTTCATAAATTCATGCTCCTCTGAACACTCAGAAACATGCCGTCTCACACGCGCATTATTGTACACACATTCAAAAACAATGATGCGCGCCAGTTCACACTCGTAATCGTAACGTTCCACGAAAATCGCCGCACATTGTTGATGTAGGTTTTTATAAGAGGTGAATTTGGGCAACTCGTTGGTGACTCGTCCACACACGCTCGTGAGTGGACGCGTTTAGCCGCACACGCTCAACAGCAGCGGCCGCCATTTGCCGCTAAGTGGCTGTCACCTCACCAAGGTGCTTGTGCAAGGCCAGGTGCACTCCAAGGCCACGTGAAGGGTCGCTGACAAGAGGCCACGGGAAAGACCCAGGTGCCATGGGTTGACTGACTGACATAACTGGCAGATGCACTAGCTTTATCCCCTGCTCTGCCAACTTGCTGCGTTTTAGCCGCTTGGCACTCCGCTCATTGTTGTGAGCGTCGCTCCTTTGCCCTCCGCTGTTGTTGGAGGGCAACTGCCTAAAACTGCCCAGTAGCGTCCTTCACGAACCTCCTCGTGAAAAGTCACTTACACACATGCACGCCCGTTCACATTCCAGTCACACCTACCCATGATCACATGCGCATACTTGGCTGTCTCGCATGTTAGCATTCGCCGAGAAGTCTAAATGTAAGAAGAAATATTCACTCCCGTCCACAGCAGCAGCTGCCTTCATTTTTCTTAAGCGATTAACTGTTCCTCTTGTGTTTACATACAACACTACACACACACGGCGGACAAATTAATGGAAGCCTTTTTGAGATTGCTCGATCTTGGTTCAATTGGGGGTATTAGGTAGGCGAGTCTGGTCCACAGCAAAATATTGTTTGTTGGTATCATGGGTTGGTTGTGGAAAATTTCCAGCAATTGCTCATTTACAAGATTATCTTTGCATTAACATTTTCTGGGGCAGCGTGCCCTGTAACTAAGCTGAGAGGGTCCCCTCGAGGTGAAATCCACGAAACAGACGCCGTGCCTACAAGGAGGACGGCAGGCTCAAACCACAATTCTGTTTCAACAAAAAGCTAAAGTGTTATTCTTGAGTGCATGCGTGCGTGCACATACATGTGGAGAGCTGCGGCTGCTCCGCTCCCCCAGCATTCCCATATTCAATACCTGGCCGTGGTGCTCACCGCCGCGTGACGGCTGTGACCTCCCCTCGGTAGCCTCAACCGAGAATGGAGAAACCGGCAACCGGGCATTTGTTGGCGCTAGCTCCATCCTTCATTGCCACGCCGGCCCTGATATGCAACACGCTCACTCGCATCGTGGCCATGGCAGTCCATGGAGCTAAACTAGAGATGTTTGTGTTTAGGGATTATGAATTCGTGTGGAAGGCTTTTGTGTCGGGCTTTGTGCTCGTTGTGCTAGGGTTAGACCAGGTTTAATGTTAGGATTACATTAGGTTTATAGTTACGTTTAAGGACACTAGCAGTTGCGGAGAGTGTGAAGTCCACATCTGCCTGGATTACTACTGCAGGAGTGTTTCTCACACTAGGGCATATCTTGGGAAAAGGGTAGAAACTATGTGTACGTGTTTCGTCTTGAGTGGTGTGTTAGAATGCAACCGATAAAAACCGTCCACTTTTAATTTCTTATAACGGAGGGCATCGCGAGTCAACCAGCACAGGTGGCGTGGCAACAGCCCTACTCCCACATGTGGTGGAGGAGAGCGTGCAGCGCAGGGGTCGCGCGTGTCCGGGACGTGCTGCTGCTGGCGGTTGTGGGCTCCGCAGGAAGCTGGTGGAGTTGGACGGGGTCGTGGCGGCGCCCTCAGGAGGTCGCGGGACAAACGAAATCCGCGCGTGATGGGCAACGGTGGTGCGATTGGTGGCACGGCAGCAGCTTGTGACGTGACGTGGAGGGAGAAGTTTGCGAGTTGTGCGCGTGTTTAGCCAAAAGCCATTTCAAGCTGTTCAACACGTGCACCAGGCCCTCGTTCGTCTACAGTTGTATGTACCCAGGAGACTGTTATGAACTCAGACTGGGCCTTATTAATTGGAAAAAAAATGCAGCAAATATATAAAATATACTAAAAACAAATTGCTTAAATATTTGGCTACACGACATGCACTGTGTGTGTGTCTCTGGTGTGGTGCAAGTCAGTGGCCTTTTTGTCTCACGAGAACAATGTCATGCCGCCACCACGGCGTCCCATGCACGTTTGGAGTTGAGGTCATTATTTGCATTACTTTCCAACATCGGAATTCAGAGGCTGTCCCAATGTCGAGAGCTCTTGGTGATCCCAATGAGGTGACCTCAATGTCGAGAGCTCTTGGACTGGCGTTGGCCATACCGGGCGAGATGTGGTGGAGTCGCTGAGAACGTTCACTACAAACGCGGTCATTGACGCTTAATCCCAAAACCAGATGCTTCGTGATCGATACTTCCTACTGGACTTTGATGCGTCTTTTACATTATTTTAGATTGAAACCACTCCTTCGCAGTGTGTGGTGGTACTCGCCCAGTCGGCACATGAGAGGTCGTGAATTCTAACCCAAGTCGAGGCTTATCAGAATGAACAGCCACAGGTCAACAAAGTTATCGCGAGGAGAGTGACCCGCGCCATGGGCGTATGTGGACTACACCGCTGGTTCGGAGCCTGCCCTGCATGATACGGCGTGTGATGCATTCGGTAGATGCCTGTCAAGCAGTGTTCGTTATATCGCCATGGATTGGACTAACAAGAACCAGGCCAACCCATCTTTATATTTGTTGTGGGGAATTTATTTTTTTACTTTTTTTTTTAACCCGGATTTGTGGGCATCCCATGAAGCCCATAGACCAGCGTCTGGTGGGCTTATGCTGCATTATTAACCGAAGCACGTGTGAGTTTTTTTAAATATTGTTTTTCTCTGGACCGCGCCCAGATTCTGCAGCTTCCCGTGGTCTTCAAGGGGTCTAGAGCATTAGGCTTTTCTTCCAATGAATACATTCCAATCAAAATGTGGCCTTGGATTTTCCCAGGGGCATTTCCTAGGTGTATCTAGAGATACGTTTACTCACATCGTTATTGCTGGAAAATAATCTGGCATCGTACGTGTAGAGCATGGGTCCACACGTAGCGATGTGTACAGAACAATGAATGTCGCTTGATGTGATCTCTTCATGGATTTGCCAGGTCCTCTTCCGGACGCGGCAGTTCAAACAACGGTGCCAGATTCTCAACTCCCCCACCTCTCCGCCCAGCAGCATAACCGAGCACACCACAGTCGATCAGACAGTCGTGTGTGGTGGGATAAAGTGTGAGTGCTAAACTCTTCGCGGACGTGTCGGCAGCGTGGAAGTGTAGGCCACGTGCCCTCTGGAGAGTTCGCTAGAGCTCGCGTAGAGGTCCTTCTGCCAGCAGGTTACACGAGCAATATGCAGGGCTGCACATTTAGCTTTGTTCTTTACAAGTTGCGACATGTTGGCCGGGCGTCTGTCATCGTCATCACAATACATGGCCACCGCCCATTCGTCACCCTGTTCAGTCTTCGTGCCAGTGGTGGTGCATGGATCCGGTGTGCAGAAGCCACTCTTGAGCCGTCTAGGTAATGCACATTCGATGTGTAGTAATAAACTAGTACTGGACTCTCGCCATAACTGTCCCCATGGGAGCTGCAGGAACGAATGGACTATGACAGTGGATTGCACCGATTATTCAATGAGACCACCTGCACGAGTCGCCAGAGACATCATCTGGGCTGGATATTTGTTACCTTATCAAACTGGAGCCAATAGCTACCACCGGCATCACATTGCGTAAACTGCCTCGAGCGCGTTCGCGTTCCCTTGACGTCCATTGCTTTAATTGAGAATGGGAATGTTTACTCCGGACGGGATGATTCTCATCTCGACGGTTTGCGTGTTTTTTTTGTAATTTTCATATTTTAAAAGAATTATAACTGCGTCTCCGTTCCCGCCAGTGGAGCTGCCACCACGGTGTTGACCGCAAAATCTCAACGGAGGGAAACGACCGATCATCGGGATGAGAACGGCACCCTTGGTGTTTGATGCAAACAGGCAAGGTTCGTGTGGATCTCCCCCCCCCCCCGCAAACCTCCCCATGCCTATTCGGGCTCCCAACTTCACTTGTCCGCCAACTTCCCGCTTTGATATTAATTCGCAGACTGCATTAGTGCGTTGATGGAAAGTGCCGCGAGCAGGCAGTGATTGTGTGTGTGGCTTGGCGGGAGTTGATAGGGCTGCGTTTACAAATTGCTGCTGCTCACGTTGGCATCTGCGGTCCAGGCCCAGCAGGCTACTAAGTTACCCCCCCCCCCCCCCGCCTGTTCTTTGTTGTTTAACTTTGATCCCCCCCCCCCCAGCTGCTCGCCCGTTCACGGTGGACAGAGCCCCGATGTTTCACCGCGGTTGAATCGCACCGACACCGCTCATGTGCCGAGTGGCCTCTGCCGCGTAACTGGCGTCTGCGGAAGCACAACCACTCGCTAGGAAGTGACTAGTTAAGGTTGTTTGGTATTTTCAGAACAGACTGAGCCCCAGCACGGGAATATGGAATCTCTCGGTTGCGACCAACAGTGTAGATGAGCACTCCCTTGTTGTTGGAGCATGAGGAACACCGATTGCATTCCACCATGGACAGCACCCCCAAGTCTGTTGTTGCCTTTGTCGAGCTGGACAGCACTGAGCAGCTGTCTCGTAATCAAATCATCATCATCCTCACCAGCATTGTCTTCATGCAGTGTTTGTTAACTTCAGCATACATGGCAGCAGTGTGAAATTGTCTCTTCAGCGTGTGCTGCCCTGCACTTTATTTTGTCTACCAATTAATAAAACATGAATAAAACAAATGTATTTATAACTGGTGAGAGGTGCATTATTGCTCTCGCAAGGGCGGCATGCGTACAACATTTACGAACGCTGGACATATACAGTGCGTGCACGTGAGACAGAAGTGTGCGTTTCGTCTGGAAAGTCTCGTCATTGGCAATGAGGTGGAAGTGTGCAAAGGTTCATTTGACGGAATTCCACTCTTAAAATGAACCGTGAGCGATGGGAGCCGTGGCTCGGTGATTAACATTGGCACTGCGCTGCGATCTCCGCAATGCTGGTTGACATTCCTGGCCGTGACATTGGCATGGACTTCCTCTCGGGCCGCTCGGCCTAACATGAGTACGTGGCGTGGCGGTCAGAGACGCTCAGGCATGCGTGGTGTTGGCCCCACCATGGCATGTTGTTTCAGCCCTAAAAGGGAATCTAACAGCACTTGTACCAACAATCTTCAGGCTATAAGCAGATCTGCGTGTGCTTCGTGTTTGTATGAGCGTGGGGAACGGTAGTGCAACGGCTAACGCTCTGCACTACGAACCCGGCTACCCAAGTTCGAATCCTGCTAACGGCCAACACCAGTGACGATTTTTTGAGCTGGTCCTGGACTTCCCCTAGTTCGACACGGCCTCAAATGAGTACCTGGTGCAGTGTGTAAACATCGCCACTAAGGAGACAGGCGACCGGGCTTGGTGCTGGCCACCCCACCCCTCGTGTGCCGTGCCGGCGTTCATAGGTGCTCGCTAACAGCACTTGCTCCTACAGTATAGCGGAATATACAAACACAGACATAATTCCAACCGTGATGAGGGTTACAAACTGAGTAATCATTGGAAAGATGTGATTAACCATGCAAAAAAGATGTAATTACACTTATTTGGACCATCTTATTTGACAGACAACTATTACAGGTTATTGATAGACAGCCAGTTTGTTTTTACCAGTTTTAGTTTTTACTTGCTTTTCTTTTTTCACACTTTTGTTATGTATGCTAGGTGTTAGTTACAAACCGCACCTCTCCATAACAAAGGCTCAGTCCTTTGTTATGCAGTCTACTCTTGGTCTTAAGCCTCATTTTACCATATTAATAAAAAAGTGTGCCGTTCCTGGCCCTTCCCCCCTCAACCATTATATATACGGGGTGGTATTTCTTGTGATCTCTCATTTACTTGATACAGCTGTCGTGGCTGTGACGGTTCCACCTGAAGACGGAGGCTTGTGTTGCTTCCGAAACGTGAATTTTTTTAATTTGTTTTATTTTACTTTTATTAATTTAAATTTTTTACCTACGCGACTTTACCGAAAAAACCTAAGAGTAGTATAGTGGGATCTTTGTATATATTGGGAGCCGTTGCATAGTGGTTAGCGCACTGTGCTATGAACTCGGCCATCTGAGTTAAATTCCCAGCCATGGCTGACATCAACAGAGTAATAACTTACCCGACCATAGACCTCCCATGGGTCGACTCGGACATAGATGTGCTGTGTAAACGTCAGCATTATGTGCGACTTCAGGCGATCGGGTATGGTGCTGACCACACTTCCCCACACTACACCTGTGCCAGCCTTAATAGGCGCTCGCTAATGGCACGCACTTGCCCCAACAGTCTGCGAAATGTTAATACGTGAGTGTTTTGTCCGTGTTTATCTCCATGTGTGTGTGTGAGAGTTTGAACGTGTGCGTCTATGCATGTCTGCAGGTGCTGCACTTGCCCCAGCAGACTATGAGGGGGGGGGGGCGGCAGGGTCGCGCTGACCGAAGCAGCGAAGCAGCGAAGCAGCGAGCGGCGCGCTCTTCGTGTGCCAACTCGCGCCATCCCACGGCCTGCACAATATCCCCCACTGCACGCGATCGTTTTCATGCTACTTCGTGCTCTGGGGGGAAATGTGGAATATAAATTTGTGTATTCGAGGGCAGAGTGACATGTGCCTTCCATTCGTCAGATGATAAGTTCAAACATCCCATCCAGTGTCACCTTGGTGAATTTTTCCCTCCGTTATGAAAATTTTGCCAGAATTTATTCTTTTCAGCCAACAATAATTGTGTTCATTGAAAAGACTTTACCCAGCCATTGTCATGTCGAATTTCCATCCATCGATCCGGACCAACGCCAGGGCGCTCCTCTGAGCTCGAGTTAGCGGTTCCAAGTTTTTCATGATAATTTTTTTTATTTTAGCAGGTAAAGTCCACTGAGCTTTTTGCTTCTTTTCAGAAAAGACCTGACCACAAATGATAGCTCAACGGGGTGGCTTATCATGTGGAAATGTATAGCAGCCAAATCCTCTAAACGCGTGATGTTGATTCTAAATGTGGAGGGGAAAACCGGAGGACCCGGAGAAAATCCACGCGACCACGGGGAGAAAGACACGGAAACTTCTAATATTACAGCAGGCGTCGGGATCGAGGCCACGACCTCCTGCTTCCCAGGCGAGGTAGTTAACATCTCGCCACCGCTGTGCCCAGCGCAATCGCTGCTGGCTGAACACCAAGTGGCACAGTCTTTACCACACGGTACCGCGGATTTGCGGTGGGCAACAGAGGCCCGTGCAGCAGAGAAATCCGTTTGTGTTGCTCTCTTCCTGTGAGCTCCCGCGTCCACGTTCGCCACCTTCGCCAAGCTGCACGCACGAGGATGGTAAAGTATGGTTAAATAACCCCCACGGTGTGGGAAGGTCCTGATCCAGCAGCGGATTGAACAAAATGGCAAAAAAACGAAAAAACAAAGATCCCCCGTATAGCCTGAATAAACTTCTGAGGCAAGTGCTGTTAGCGAGCACATGTAATGGCTGATACGACGGACAAGGTGGTGGGTGGCCAGAACTTAGCTAGCACCACGCTCGACTGCTTTTGTCTCCCCAGTGACGATTTTTACACAGTGCACCTGGCACTCATTTGAAACCGTGTCGACCTAGGGGAGTAGGCCGTAAGGTGAACAAGGAAAAAGTGGCTAGAAAATGATTTTCGTTCCCACACCTGGGAACTACTTTTTAAATGAATTTTTTCATAGACAAAACCATTTTCGACTTTATGTTAAAAGTTCTCCACAAAATACCCTGCAGTTTTTTTTTCAAAATCCATAAATGTATATAATTGTGAATTGGAAAAAACGAAAATCTTATGCTGCTGGTTTTGTTTGTAACTTTATTTATATACATTTTAGCAACACCAAATATCTCTCAAACTGACACTTATATATGTACCTAAACACTTGAGACAGGTTTTGGTGCATTATATACTCAAGTGTGAATGTAGACCATGAAATATGGCAAATTTGTAGAAAATATGCTTCAACTTCACGGATTGGCACTAAGCAAAATTAAACATAAACATTTTAAATTTAGCAAAACTGTGATGTTTTGTACATCAAAATTTTCAGTAGGTACTGTGTAATCACAGAAAGATACAAATATAAGCACACTTTGGCCCAAGTTGGCTGAAATGACTCGAAACGCTACACTGTCCCCTTGTTTTGGAATGCTGCCAAAAAAAATTACAATTCTACCACAGATTCTTTACAGCTCAAAATCACCTTAAATTATAAGACAGCGCATATTTACTCATCGGTATCATCCCTATCACTATCAGAGCCATCATCCCATGTAGGTCTTCTGTTTCCTGTGAAACATTTGCACAATTTTGGCACCGACATAAATCAGTACAAGACAGTCTTGCAGACATACAGGAACATCTTCCAGTCTCACATTTGCTATGCTTGCAACTGCAGTGGACCGCCTGCAACACACTTTCAGGGGCAGGATTTCTAGTCATCCAGGTCACTGTTAACTCACCATCCTCGAGGTGCCATCCATTGCCGACGAGTGAAGGGGCACACATTATACCTTTCAGAGAATGTCTCATTATGGCTGCTTGGTAGTTTGCCCTTTTGCAGTGTTGGTACAGGGCGTCACTTGTAAGGGGCATGGATAGTTCTAGAAAAGCTGACGATGCCATACAGAATGCTTTGTATCTTGCATCGTTCACATTTTCGGCAGATGACTGCCCATACAGGTGGCACACATGTGCAAAGTAGCTCAAGGGTAGACTGGTCTAGGTTAAAACTGCTACCCAGATTTGTAAAAGCAGTCAGATATTCCTCTTTCTCACAAGCAACAGAAAATGCCTTTCTTTTGCCTTTGCCATAAAAGGCACTTGTAGAGTCACAACCTGAGAAGGTATGGATCCCAATAAGTGCCAAACAGACACTTGTGCCAAGAGCTGACGACACCTTAGCTAAGTCAATGAGCCTTGTTTTGTTGCCAACCCCCGTGAAAAAATACAACCTACATGGTAAATCTGGCTGCAGACTTAAAGCAATCACTGCCACATCAGCATCAGGGCTCTTGATGACTACAGTTTGATGTTCCTGTGCAGCATGTTGTGCATGTAAAAACACCCTGGTGTCACATTCCTCATGATCACATGTCAGATCTTCAACAGCACTGAGAGTATGTAAATCCTCCATTACAGTCACGCAGTGACACAGGTCTCCATGTGCTATGTACAAGCTTAAGTCCTTTCCCACAGTGGTAAGATCAGCCTCTCGCCACACAACAGAGGAATTCTGCCAGTGCTTCTTTGTTTGTTCCATCTGATATAAACTTTTTCCATTGTGTTGATGTCTTATGATCCCGTCCATAAATTTTCACCAGTTGTGTACCACCACCAGCTCTACGTGACCGTTCTAGGTTTTTAATACTCATTTTTGGATACTGGTCAATCACAAAGTTTATCCGTGTACAGTTTGTTTCAGAGAAAGTTTGACTATGTACTGCAGTATGGTCTCTGCAAGCTCTCCAAAGGTACTTGGTATTGACCGAATGGCTTGAATGACTGCCATGCCATCAAAGAAAATAGCTCCACTGATCACTCCATTGATGAATCCTGGGGCAACAACTTTGGACTCAATGAGTATGTCTTGCAGTCCTGCATCTCCAAACCTTTTTCCTAGAATGCTCAGGTAGGACATGCATGTGTGAAATTCACCT